TATATATATATATATATATATATATATATATTTTCAAATACTACTTTATTATTATTTCAATTTATCATTTCAATGATTACTGGCTTGTAAACTGCCCAGTCACCTGTAGCATAGCCACCATTCTGAGATCAGCATTAAAAAACTGCACTGGTTAGCAGACTTTGCTTCACATTTCAATGCTGCTGTTTTCTTGACTATACAATTATAAAAATATGATTAGACCTAACAGCATATATTGTAACACTGGTCCTTCATGTAATATATTATCAAAGCATGTCAGATGGATTAAGAGATAATTTAGAAGAGTTAGAATATGGTATCATTTAAAAACTTTACTAAAATTGTCACATATTACCAGTTGTATAGTTCCTCAAAAACAGAAATGACAAAACTGATTCAAGACTTTAAAATACAAAAGTGGGGAATGTTTGTTTCAAAGTACCATCTTAAAATTAGTTAGAAATACTTAAAATTTGTCACATCAAACTGCACACAAAAATGCAGTTTTTGTCAACATTTTCTACCAAGTTGATTTTGAAGAAAGCATATCTTTACATAATTATCTTTAAAACTATTACATAATCCTCATTAGTTTCAGCACAATTCATCTCAACATTTTAGCAATTCCAATTCAACCATTGTTTTTCTTGATTTGGCAGAAAATGCTGAAAACAAACACTCAAGGACAAACCAACTTTGCAAGAGAGCAATATGTCATTATTGATTAGTGAGAAATAAGGATAACAGCCCTATGCTAAGTGGTTTAAATAGACTCGATTCAATGAAAAGAGCATTCATTCCTCAGGGTCTACTTGCACGTTTCTAGAATGGCATTTTATGACTAGGTCCACCCATAACGAATGATTAAATGGTTTCCTCTTCAGATTTCTTCTATGTGCCACAGAGAAGGGAGCAGAGCAAGGCTTAATTTTGCAATATGGGGGCCTGGAAATTACCTGCCCTCCGATGATGGAATGGGATACACAAAGGGGAAGTCAACTAGGGCAGCCAAGTACAGGCTACCCTGAAGCAATAAAGGCGACGTAAGCAGCTCTTCAGTTGCAGACGTTGGGGGGAGGCTGCATTTCCTAAAATCGTACTTTCTCCGCGTTGATTTAGCTCTCTCTTCGGCCAGAATAAGCTCTTCTCAGATTATCTCTTTTCCAGCCTTGAATGTCTATCTAACTAACTAACTAACTAACTAACTAACTAACTAACTAACTAACTAACTAACTAACTAACNCAAATAATTTTAGAATTAAGCATCTGGTAACTAATACAATTCATTCTTTGCTGTGTGGGTTCTTAAAGTGCATTAGAAAGTAATTTATCAGAGGCTAAGGATTGAAACTATATGTATAGGATTTGAGAAGTCAATTTATCTTGATGCAAAATTAAATGCGAATATTCTCGCTGTTCTGGTTTGTACAATAATCAGGGCAGGCTAGACATTCGCTATATTACTACTTTGCACTGTGTCCTCAGGACTAGTTGGTCTTCCTAGTTCTGATTTTTACCTGCAAGTTACATTAACTGATTGAACTTTGTAATATGATTTATCATTGGGAATATATTCAGATAAGGTTATCAAGAATTTTTTTGTAATACAGTATACTGTACATGACAATGGTGTTTATGAAATTTTGATACTGAAGTATGTTTTCCCCAACAGGTGACTCTGACATCATTAGAAGCATGCCAGAACAAACCAGTGAGAAGTAAAATTAATAAACTTTACATTTTGTGTAATAAAACTGGCTTTACATCTGTTGTTGGTATGAGTTTTTATAAGTAAGACACAACAAGTTGTATGCAAAGTTTGATGGAGAAATAAAATAGTTAAGGTCTAAATAAAATTGGATCAATGGGATTAAATAATATAACCATAGTTGGCTCCCCTGATTGAGTTCTGTATTTATCTGAAAAGGAGATATAGCAAAAAAACAAAACAAAAACCAAATTCAATCTACAATATCCAGATTTCTGATCAACCACCTACTTCATAAATATGTATGTGCATATGTAAACATATTCATATTGTACAGCACATTTGAAAAACAAGTTTTTAAACATGGTTAATTTTGTGATTAGAAACCATCTAGTCACTTAATTGTATAAATGCAGGAAGGAGGGAACCAACCAACTATCTTCTCATTAGGACTATGCAGTGTTTCATATTCAGTATGGAAAATTCTGAATGTGCTGAGAGACTTGCAACTCTTTGTAGAAGCTGCTACTGCTGAAGATTACTGTTGCAGAAAAAATGCTAGGCTAGAGATAGGTAAAAGGAAATGATAAGTGTGCTAGGAAGAGAGAGAAAAAAAGTAAACAAAATTGAGGCTGAAGCGAGGGCAAAAAAAAAAGCCCTATTTAAATACTGCAGAAAAAGTGAAATTTAACAAGCAACCACATTCTGTATTATCAGTAAGAGTGACCTTACCTTACTTGGGGGAACCTCCACACATTAATAGTAAATAAGGATATAGTTAAGCAAATTCAGCCTTTTATTTAGAGCAAGAAAACCAAACAGAATAACTTATGAACAACTGAAAGAAAAACAATAGATGATGGGAAAAAATTATTGAACATAATTTATTTTTGGGATAATTCAGCTAAGGCACTTCTTAATTTGTTCTGAAATAATACTATAATTCATTCTGTAATGAATTAATTTTCCCATATGATTATCCATTCTTCCAAGTATCTGTTGGCCAACACTGTTGAAATACTTGTGTGATAACATCTGTTTGAGAATTGTTTTATAAAAATATTCAATTTTTTGGTATATAATTCTAGCAATAAAATAACATTTTATACATTATCTCCACAAACCCTATCCCACATATAAATACCTAGAGGGTTAACATGAACATAGGGAATGTGCCTTAAATATGTTGGTTACTACCCAATTTCCTTATCATCAATCACATATGGGAAGAAGTGCTGGCTTTAGGAAAAGTTTTAAGCATAGAGAAAATATTTGCTATTACTATGGATATTAGCATTACCGCTACATGAGAAGCACAAGAACACCATTGTAACGTAATGTTTGACTACATCCATTCAGTACATTATTACAATGAATAGTGAACAATATTTGGCCTTTCCAAATTTCTGAATAATAAAAATTGCCTTTTATATACTAATATTTTACAATATACAGTTTCTCAATTGAAAAAAATAGTTTTCTAAAAAGTTTGTAATTTTATCTTAGTCAATGCAAAAATACACCATTACATGGTACTGTATTACTGAAGTTATAAATTCTCCTTTTTGTGCAAAACATACCTACCTACATAGCTTTGATACATTTTCTTGTGTGTAATTACCGGTATCCAACAAAGGTATATTGCTGCTAAGGACATTTTATTAGTATCTTAATCGATTTTCCAATGCTTCTATTCTTTTTGACATTTCTTCCAGTAATTTCAAGTTAAGGAAAACAATTTTAAACTGCTTCAATATTTAATATTAAGAATATCTCCACATATAATGGACAAACTTGGGAAATCTACAGTTACTTCTTTTAAAATGAAAAGCCCTGAAATGAGTCAGTCAGAGCTAGCTGTGTATCTATAATTGTATTTCCAAAAATCCAGTATTGATTAGTTCTTGGATATTTCATTTTGGCAATGGGAAGGTGTTTTGTTCTTGCTTTTAATAAACAGCTGAGAGTTAGAAATCCCTACTGAGCTAATGATGATCAATAAATGGTACAAGTCGCATCAATAGTAATACCCTGTTTGTGGTTTTTCCAAAGGCATCAAGTGAAACAAGATAAACATCCAGTCATGTTCAATATGAAACCCACACACACAAAATTAGGCTTGTGGAATGAATGCTAAAGAATTATGATGCAACCCATTGTAATAGTTCTTGCAAATACCACTTTTCTACATTTCTATGTTGGCAGTTAAATGGTTTTAATTGTACTTATAAAATAACCAGAACCGGCTTAGACTGAGATGTCTCTTAAGAACATATAATTACTGTGAAAAAGAAATTTGCAGATTCCTTTTGGCATAAATATTTAGGCCAGCAACTTTTTCTAATTGTGTGTTTACCTGAAAATAAGACCTAACCTGAAAATAAACCCTACTCTGATTTTTAAGTGTGCCTAAAAATAAGCTTTAGTGAAGATTATCATAAGCCAGGGAGAGGGTGGCCAGCACTGGAGGCGGTGCAGGGCTGACGTCTAGCCATAAAATAGACATCTACTTGGGAGAGTCTGACTGTTCTAGATCAAATATAAAATGGCAGTTTATATAATATGGTTTGTTGTTCACTTGGTTCCTTATGCAACCTGATGGGTATCATTAAGATTACCAATTATTATTTCTTTAAATAAGCTCATTATTGTCATTGGCAGTATCTACCCAACATATTTTCTGTTGGCCAATTTCAACTGCCTTTGAATCATGTTTGGAATGTTTTCCAGTGATTTTTGCTGCAGTGTGGGCTTAAAGGTATATAGTGTCCCTCAGCAATATTGACCGATGGTGACCCCTCCCATCCATGTGGAGATTTGTATTTTTAGATTGAGTTACAAGGAAGAGGCAGTAATAGTACTTCCTAAAATTTGATGCCTTAGATGGCCATGGCCCTAACATTACACGTCCAAAGTATTCCCAACCATTTTTCCCAGATACCATAATTCTAAGACATTTTGTTCCATATTTTATGAAGGAAAATTCAGGCTTTTAAAGCCTAATTGTGAAAATAAAGAGTCTTGATAATACACATTTTTGATGTCAGTGTGAAATCCCTGTTCTGTATTTTGAAACTGCAGCTAGAGGGGGCCTGTGCATCAGCTTCATCATTAATGTTCTTAAAGAGTAATGCATTAGCTACAGTGTACTAGTAGGCCACATACGTATGACACTGCCATTCATGAAAAGACAACAAAACCAATCCTGAGATTTAGCATTATTCATCATCATAATTCCCTCTATGTATTAAAATACTAATAGATTGAAACAAGAACAGAATATGAGAAAATGAGTGGGGCATTTGTACATAAACCATATAAAGTTTGCCAGCAGGCAGAATTAGAAATGCCAAATTTGGGCTGCAAAAATCCAGTGAACTGCAAAGAAATAAGCTCTTTGTTACCATCTAGTGGTCAACTGGACTTGAGCAGACAAATTCTGCAAGAAATTTTCAAATAACTAAGCGGAAAGTACTATATTTGGCTTGGCAACAGAAGCCTTCAAGACCAATTTCATATCCACTGAAATGGGCCTGATCAGTTTGATTATGCCAGGAAAAGCAGCTGGTGGTTCCATTTTTCAGAAGTTAGAGTAATGAACTTCCATTGTTAGCCCAGCCCTCTGGAACAGCTTTGTATGAGAAGCATGCTTGGCTTCAATTCTAGCCACCCATCAGAACGAAACAACTTTTCTATAAAACATTTTAAGATTTAAACCTACAGGAGGTGCATTTTCTAAAGCAGTTTTGTCTATTTTTTATTCTTGGGATTACATTTAAATTGCTTCTGTTGTGAGCTGCCTTTTTGTGGATATGTGCCTTCAAATCATTGTTTATCCCTGGCAACTGCCTGGATAAGTCTGCAGTTGTCTTTGCAAGATCTTTGAAAATGGCTTTTTGTTGCCTTCCTAGGGNTTTTCAGTGTCATAGTAACCTTAAATTGATATTAAATAAATGATTAAATGTCGAGGACTACCTGTAAATCAAATGAATAAATAATACAACTAACTTAAACAGCCCTTTTGGTTCCACCACCAACATACTTGTCCATTTGCAAACTAACAGACTTCAGAGTCTCATAGATTTGAGAAAAATAACCTGATAGCCTCATCTTCTCAGTGCAGATGCAACTGTCTTAATAGAATGAAGATATGCCTGCATTTAAAAAAAAAAGATTCTTCCCCTTTTATATATAAAAGTTGAGTGGACTGATCATCAAACCTTACTGTCACTTTGATGATAAGAGAATTTCCGCCACACTATTAGATGTGGTAGCCTGTTGTAGAAGGACCAGGACAGGATATGCATCAATACATTTAGTGGAAGGTATTTAGACTGAGTCCAAACTACCATCCTTGTGCAGGAATCCAAATGAATCCTTTGCTCCTAGTTAGCATTTTGCCATTTTCACTTAGCAATTTTCTTTATTTTGAACAGATCCATTATATTAGCTTTAGTTAAAATTACAAGGCAATCTTTGGACATGTATATTTATTCTATTCCTCTTGATCAAACTGTATTATTCATTATTCAGTTACTACAATCAAATAAGGGGAGTTATCAATCAGGTCTCTGACATACTGGTAAGACATTTATCTTCCTATATTAAGAAATCAGTGCCCACTAGAGGGCAGCAGTTAGCCAACACCTGGCTGATCTCAAAAAGCTAAGCTATGTCTAGAAATCCTCTGCATATAAATATTTATAGATAGCTATGATCTACTGATTATTTCCTAAAACAAAGTGAACAGCAAAAAATCTGGTGGGAAAGACACATTGTTAATCCAGGATGGATTACAAAATAGGATGGTGGTTAGCATTTATGTTCAAAGGTGCTTCTTTGATAAGTTGGACAATACAAATTTTACATTCTAAAATGTCGAAGTTATCTATTATTCATCCCTATTTTATAAAAATAATATGTTCTAGGACCAAAGTTTGATGGATCTCTTTAACTCAGCTCTCACTATTTCATAGAGAACTGTTTTATTCTTCAATTTAGTACAATAATCTCTTCAAAGTGGCTCATCTACCTTCCCCATTATGTTTCCGTTCTTTGATTTTCATGAAACTTGCCAAATACTTTTTCTAGTCCATCCCTATTATCCTTCCCTCCACCCACCCACCCCAAAATATAATTTTGTTTCTACACTATCACAAACATGCAATTTTTGGAACAACAACATGACACAGATTTGCCATTGTCTTTTTCTATGATATCTTTTCATTGTTCAATCCAGTCTGGAAAACTGCTGTTTACCCATTGTTTCTTTACCAAGCTGGTCCCACTTAGCCTCCATGGCCAAAAGCTCCAACATGGTAACACTTGTTGAGACAAAAACTTGTGTAGTTCTATTCAAGGTAAGAGCCTGGTGGAATGGTAATTTTAAGATTAATTTGAAGAAGGCATCAGAAATGTATGGATCTAGAATGGACTTTCCCTAGTTGCTGAGATCAAAGCAGATAGGGAACACAGCAGATACCGGTAATTAAATTAGAGACTTTGCTACCCAAATTCCTTTCCCCTAAAAACTGTGCCTTATCAATGAAAGTTAGAGAAACTGGGATTATCTTTTCCTAGCAATCACAATGCCCATCTTGTATGTTTATCTTTCAGTTTATATGGTGGTATCCACATTTTGGATGTGTTTTTAACTGTTTACCAATGAAATTATACAGTACTTGTTAATGTCACAATTTTCCCATTGCAATGCTTTAAAACTCACTCTTTAAACCAAATCCATGCACGTGTCCCTCAATCCAAATGCTCTCTATTTTGCAAATTAAAGATTTTAAAGAGATTTACATTTTGCATGTTAATTGAGCC